CGGTCCCTGTGCTTTGCTAAGCTTGTTCTAAGTAGGTGCTTTAGACCACTGAGCCATCTCACCAGCCCCTGGTCCTAATTTTTGCTATTGAACCACTTTTCATGATCTTGCTCTCTGGTTCCGTAAATTCCAGACTGTTCAATGGATTTGTAATAAACTTCTAAGATGAAAGGAAATTTCTTACTCATAGGTTGCCTAAAATCTTGGCTTGTGTTCATCTTAGTAAACAAAAAATATGCTCCAAAAACACCCATAAGTTCAGCTACTAAAACTCCTTTAAAGACCTTCTTCGCCAGTGGTTCCATAGTACGAGCCATCCTGCAGCAGGCGCCTTAGGCCAGAAGCCTTAAAATATTTTTATAAAAAAAAAATGGAATGCAGAGTCATTTGGAGAGGACACAAAATTGAGAGATCAACTGAAATCATATGGCAGTTGGGGCCATCTGTATGGGCAGGTTGTCACCTGCCTTTTTCTTATCCCTCAAGAAACGACTTTCTGCATAGGGCAGTCACTATGTTCAGCACCAGCTATTGAAGATGGAGCAAGCTCTAACACTTTGATCAGGTCAGTTAACATTTGCCCAATAGTCTTTAGCTTTTTTTTTTTTTTTTTTTGGTGGAACCAGGGATTGAACTCTAACACTTTGAAAGAATCTATTCCAAATGGCAAAATGAAAAGGGACTTCCAATTCTGCCCAGATGGATTGACAAAAACCACTTTTACCTTCCCGACTAAGAGAGACAGGTGGACAGACAAAAAGCCCAAGCAAAATATATGAAATAATGACTTCCAAGGGACTGGATATGAGGTGACCAAAGTTAATGATCATGGAGCGATAAGAAACAAATAGGGGAGCTCAGGATTGCTCCAGGATTCCTGGAGCATCTCCAGGCCGAGATAAGGAAGAGGAAACAGGTGGAGCCTGTGGAAGCTGGAGACAGCATGGTGGGTAGAATTCGTGGGAAAGAAAAGATTTCCACAGGGCAAGCCCCAGTCACTAGTTAAAAGAAACTGAAGTAGATATGGTTCAGTTTGAGGCCAGTGTGAAGTTTTATGTTTGCTTTATTTTATTTTTTTAACTTTTATTTATTTGTGTGTGTGTGTGTGTGTGTGTGTGTGTGTGTGTGGCCAGCTCAGCCCACATGGGGGCAGGGCTGGCTGGCATGTGGTGCTGGGGGATTGAACCGTGGTCCCTGTGCTTTGCTAAGCTTGTTCTAAGTAGGTGCTTTAGACCACTGAGCCATCTCACCAGCCCCAGGAGCACTGTTTTTTTTTTTTTTTTTTTTTTTGGTGGAACTGGAGATTGAACTCAGGCCCTTCAGCTTGCCAGACAAGTGCTTATTCTACTGAGCCATCTCCCCGGCCCCAGGAGGATCATTGTGAGTTTGAGGCCAGCTGAGATTACACAGTGAGAGCTTCTCTGTCTTACACACACACACACACACACACACACACACACACACACACACTGAATGGATACTAAGCAATCAGTTTGCATACACTGCCTTATGTTTCTGTGCCTTTGTCTTTTGTTTGACTTTCTGTAGTTCTGCCTCAATAGCTTTATCTTCTGGTGCTCTCTTATGATTTGTTAAGATCAGCCAACTCTTGATCACATTGTTTTGATCCTTTGCTGTAGTGGCTGATTGGCTGTGTCCACTTGAGAAGTTTGGAAGCTTAATTAAATTGGCTCAGCAATTCCACACCCTCGGGTGTAGAGGAGCCGCCCTAGGGGGGCTTGTCTCCTAAAGGATATAAAAGGGAATTAAGGAAGGATGGAGTGTTCCATGCCTTTGGAGGAGCTTCAGTCTTCTCTGCCAGCTTGGGCATCGTCTCCTGGCTTCTAGCGCAGACTCTTTGGCTTTCACCTTAGATCCTTCAGCCTTCTGCTGCAGACCCTTCAGCCTCCTCCTTGATGCGGACTTGCATGGAGCATTGCAGTGAGCTCCAGACCTTGGACTGAATCCTTCAGTCTTGGGTGTGCAGATGCCCCCTGCAGGCTTCCTCATCTGACTCTGTGGCTGACCATCTTAAGCCAATCTTGTAATTTCTTATACATTTGTATATCCTGTGGTATATCTGTTCCTCTAGTAAAACCCTGACTGATACACTTGCCATCCTTGAGCTCTGTGATACAGTGCTTTAGTATTTGATGGATCTATTTCAAGTGCCTCCAAACAGCTATCAATTGCTTCCTGCCAGTTTGACATATTTAGTTTACAAGCACTGGTATCAGTACACAGCTTAAGGCCACAAGCTGAAGCCTGAATCTATCTGCTTCCTTAATAACAACCATTGAAAAGTCTGAAGTTTTTTAATGGCCATCTCCCAGTTCTGAGACTTGAAAAAAGTATTTGCAATGTTTTTGAAGTCTTCTGTTATTCATAGAATTTTACTCATGTCTTTGAAACCCCCACGTGCATCTTTAGGGAAGTCTGGGACACAGCCATCATTTGGGAATATTCCTCAGTCGTCACCTTTCAATTCTCTGCATTCTGCAATCATGCACAATTTGGCAAGTTTTTCACATTTACTTCTACATTTTCCAGTATCTCACCTATTCCTTTAATCACCTGGCCAAACGCCACGTGTTTCCCATCCCAGTGGGAAGGGTTGGCACTGTTGTGATAATGCACAAAGAACCCTTTGCCTTATAGCCTGTGTTTGTCATGCTTGATAAACTTTCTTATTTTATTTTAATGTATTTGGTACAGGGTCTCACTATGCAGCTCAGACTCCTGTGATTCTCCTGCTGTCAGCCTCCCCAGCACTGAGATTACAGGCGTGCATCACCACGCCCAGCATGGGACTCCATAGCCGGCTTGTGCCGGGGGGTGGGGCCAACACAGGATGGGGTGCTGGGGATCGAACCACAGTCCCTGCACGTACCTAAGCAGGTGCTTTAGTCTGCTAAGCTGTTTTGCCAGTCCCTTCTTTCTTTCTTTTAAAAAATCTTTTATTTATTTGGTACAGGGTCTCACTACACAGCTCATATTCCTAGTGATTTTTCTGTCTCAGTCTGCCCAGCGCTGGGATTATAGCCATGCGCTACCACATCCAGTTTTGGTGGCTGGCACAGCATGTGGTACCAGGTATCAAACCCGGGTCCTTGCCAGGCAGGTGCTTAGACTGCGAGCTATCTCCCCAGCCTATCCAACACCTTTTTCTTCTGTATAAAATGCATGAATATTTTTTGCAATTTTTGCGAACAGTATTTGCAAACAATTCTAAAACAATTTGAACACCTTGCTTCCCACTGATGTTCACATCAAATAAAACTGGAAGTTAATAGGTCTGGAGAGCTTAGCTTGTGGGGAGGTGTGTGACACACAGGGAAGCAGGATCTGGGCCCCTTGCTCATAGCTGGCCACTCAAGTTCCAGTGCACCTTTCTTGAGGTTTATTATTTATTTATTTCTTGAGGTTTGATAGTTACTATTTGCTATAGCTGTGATGTGTAGTGTCTTTTTTTTTCCTTTTCTTTTTCTTTTTTTTGCAGAACTGGGGATTGAACTCAGGCCCTTGTGCTTGCTAGGCAGGCACTTATTCTACTGAGCCATCTCCCCATCCCCTGTAGTGTCTTTAGTGTATCTCCCCTTGTTGTCTTGGGTGTCCCTAGAACTCCTTAAATAGACTCTGAGCCTCGCAGTTCCTTTCTCTCTCTTTTTTTAAGAGGGTCTTGCTACGTGGTCCAGGCCGGCCTTGAACTCACTATGTAGTCCAAGGTGGCCTCCAATTTGCTATCCTCCTGCCTCAGCTTCCTGAGTACTGGGATTACAAGCACATGCCACCATGCCTGGCCACCTTGTAGTTCTTTTAGTGATCATGTTTTGTTATTATATAGTAAGCCCTGCTGATGGGGGAGTGTGTGTGTAGGGGCAGGCAGTCTATGGTCCTAGGATTAGGTCTGTCTTTAGTGAGCCAGGTTGAAAGCTGGGGAGGTGGGCAGGAGTTGGGTACTTCTCCTCCTCAAGGTCAGCTAGGCTTGGTAAAACTTGGCTGGCTGGGTTCTGATGAGGCTTCCCTTGAGTTTAGGCGCTGCTGGGGAAGACAGAGACATCTGGACATATTTCAGTTGGCTGCTTTCATTCTCTGACTAGAAGCACAAGATGAATTTTTCTACAGTTTCATTGTAAGAACCTAATGGTGACACTGGAGGTAAAACTCAAAGTATGGATAGCTCCCACCTGCTTTGTTTTTAAAATGTATTTAGCACAGGGTCTACAGGGTCTCACTATGTAGATCTGACTTGTAGTTATCTTCCTGTTTTCAGCCTCCCAAGCGCTGGGATTGCAGGCACATGCCACATTGCCCAGTCTCAATTGCCATCTCAGCACGTCCCAGGGGCGGGGCTGGCACGGGACACCAGGGATTGAACTCCCAGCTGCTGTGCTCTGTCTAAGCAGGTGCTTTGGTCCACTGAGCTATCTGGACGACACTTCCACCCCAGTTGTTAACTCCCAGGGTTACCCACATAAGGGCTCCAGCAATTTGTCAATTAAATTTTGCAGGATTTTGTTTGTTGGGGTACTGGGAATCAAACTGAGGACTTCATGCTTACAAAGCAGGTGCTGTGCTGCTGAGCTATATCCCCAGCCCCTTTGTTAATTAAATTTTAATGCGTCACATTGTAAGCCGTAAGACTCCAATTAGACCCGACTCTCCCAGCTCCTAACCTTCCTGCCAGTGCAGATACTACTCTCTGCAGGGAACTCAGTACCAAAGTTGTCATCTCAGCAAGCACAGGAAAGGAGGTAAGACAGGACAAGGACTCTGCAGCCCCTGGGACATCTGGAGATACCCACGGATCAACTCCAGACACTTCAAGGACTGCCCACTGACAGGGAAGATTGCCCAAGTTTGGCTGCAGATGTTTCTTGGGATCTTCCCGCCTAATGTCCTCTGCCTTCTCTCCACCCCATAAAAGAAGCACACTTCTTGCTCAGGGCAGATGGTCCTATCACGCTCCCTGCCTGCACCCAGATGCAATACATGCCAGGCCCTGCTGTTGCCCATACACAATCCTGGTAACCTCTGCTGTTTCCTCCACTCCCACCGTATGTTACACATGTTAAAACCACTAGTAATGGCTTCGGCTGCAGGATTCTTCTACTGGGCTTCCACTTCCATTAAACTGTAATTTCCTGTGTGGCTTTTTTTCTAGATTTGGGGATAGCAGTTTGCCATGTGACTTTAACTTCTTAAAATTTTTTAAAAAATGTATGTGTTTGGTACAGTGTCTCAGTATGTAGCTCCAACTCATAGTGATCCCCTTGTTTTCAGCCTCTCCAGTACTGGGATTACAGGTGTGCACCACCACACCAACCTGG